CTACCCTAAACCCCGAAACTCTTCAGCCAAAGCCCGGATGCCCCCAGTAACCTGGGCATAGGAACCCTTTAGAACCCCGACCCCAAGCCAAAAAACCTGTCAGGGTTCAGGGCTCAGAGTTTAGGGTCTAAGTAATCCCTAAACACCAAAACTGCGAACCCTAAACTCCCCAATCCCCCTAAAGTCCTCAAAATCCGAAGAGAGAGACACACACACACACACACTTTTTAAATACATTAACCCACCTAAACACCTAAACTGTTAACCCTACATTCCCCCAAATCCCCAAGCGCGTTTTTTTCCTCACTAAACCCCTATGTGCTGAACCTCGCCGGTCTTAAGCGCCCTGAACCCGATCCGCCCGCTCCCGTCGCTCAACAGCAGCGGCCTGCGCTGGGTGCTGGGTTTCGGGACAGTTTAGGGTTTGCGGTTTAGGGTTTTCATGTTCAGGGTTTTGGGGGTTTAGGGGTTAAGGGGTTTGGGGGTTTCGGGTTTGGGGGTTGGGGGGTGTTAGGTCTAGGGGTTAAGGCTTGGGTTCCTCGACCCAAGAGTGACCTAGCAATAACAAGGGCGCCCTGGTTTGGCTTTTAGGGGGGGCTTGTGACGGAACCTAAGTCCTAAAAAAGGGAGGGTTTAGGTCTAGGGTTTAGGGTTTACAGGGTGGGGCCCCTCAGTTATAAATTGATTTATAACCTCTATAAATCAATTTATAACTTTCCTAACATAAATTATAAGTTGTTAAGTTCATGGTTTAGTTATAAATTATTTGTCCAAGATATAAGTTAGTTATAAGTTTTTTGTGCCCAACTTATAAGTAACTTATACAACTTAGCTTTAAAAAACCGTGTTTTCATGAGATCCATGCTCGCGACTGTGAGATATAGGATTTTGCAAGGTTATAGGCTCGGAACGATTGTTTTTCAAGTTCTAATCTCGAGGAGTTTCCACAGCTGATGTTCCGGGCCGGGCCGTGTTTTGCGAAGCCTTTGGCTTGGCACGCATTCGGGTCACATTCGGACATATACACCGACACGTCGGGGACACATCCGGACACATTCGGCACACATGGGGGACACATTGGGAACACATAGTGCAAAAGAGGGTGGACACACAGGAAAACACCGGACACACTGCAAAAAATGGGGCGGACACACCGGACACATCGCGGATATATCGCGGACACATCGGGTTTTCGACACACGCGGGGCACAGGCGGACACATCGCGGACACATCCCCACATCCCAAGCGCATGCGCTAAACGTTTTGTGTCCTTGCGTGCAGCCGTTTTGTTTCCTGTCTCAGCCAGACAGCTTTCGTTTCTCCGCAACACCAACTTGCTTTGAGATGGCGTTGCAGGGCCAAGAGACGCCTCTTCTTGAAGAGCGCCCAAAAACCTCTTCTTTTAAGACATGGGCTCTGCATGATGATTTTTACTACAAAAACAACATTTTGTAACTTATAAATCAACTTATAAGTTGGCTAACTAACTTAGCAAACTTAGTGTATAAGTTAGTTATAAGTGCTCTAAATTACATATAAGTATCTTAACTTACTTATAACTAAGGGGCCCCGCCCTGTAGGGTTTAGGGTTTAGGATTTAGGGTTTAGGGTTCAGGGTTTAGGGCTTGGGGTTTAGGGTTTAGGGTTTGGGATCCTAGGTCCTGAGCATCAAACCCTTGACCGGCAGTGGGAAAGCTAGGGTCTGGGAGCTGAAGGCCTCAGCCGCCTGAGCAAACATATCAAGCCAGAAAGCACCGAACATGCCTAAACCCCCTCAACTCGCCTCCAGGGGTTTTGGGTTTAGGGTTTAGGGTCCCTAAACCCTACACCTACTTATGCAAATGCAAAGAAAACTCAGCAGGTACCCTAAACCCTAAACCCATAAGCCCCAGTCGGCACGCACCTCGTGAGCATCAAGGGCCTGTCGAATAGCCTTCCCGGCTTAGGGAAGTTTAGGGTTTAGGGTTTACGGTTTAGGGTTTAGGGTTCAGGGCCGTTTAGGGTTAGGGTTTAGGGTTTAAGGTTTAGGGTTTTAGGGTTTAGCGTTTAGGGTTTTAGGGTTTTAGGGTTTTAGGGTTTAGGGTTTAGGGTTTAGGGTTTAGGGCCACTGTAAAGCTCGGGCTAAATGCTTTGGAGTTCAAGGGCTGCCGTCCCCAGCGGTTGCCCGCAGAACAGGATCAGACTGTCCCTAGACACCCAAAGCTATTTAGCCAACTCCGTATTAGGGCTTTAGGGCTTAGGGGGTTACCCTAAACCCTAAACCCTAAACCCCAAACCCCAAACCCTAAACCCCCAAACCCCAAACCCCAAACCCCAAACCCTAAACCCTAAACCCAGCTTTAGGGCTTAGGGTTGAGGCATGCCTACCCGAAACCCAAAGAATTTCTGTGCTCAATACAACCGACCCACACCCGAGAAGCAGGCGATCTGCCCTTGAAGTCCGACTGTTAGGGTTTAGGGTTTAGGGTTTGGGGTTCAGGGTTTAGGGTTTAGGGTTTAGGGTTTAGGGTTTAGGGTTTAGGCTTAGGGCAGCCTGTGGGTGCATGGGTTGTCGCGGGACTGTGGTTGGTTGGCCACAAACATTGGCTGATTGGCCGGAGTCGGGGCACCGGCTTTGGCCTTCAGAACAGGCACCGGGGACGGCGCCATGGCCGTGTGACGTCCCGAGCTGCCGTCCGAATCAGAAAACCCTAAACCCCAGCGGAGTCGAAACCTAAACCCCTACACCTTCTTCTCTCAGAACTTCTGGGATCCCAACAGTTCAGGGTTGGTGTTTAGGGTTTAAGGGTTGAAGGGTGAAAGATCAAGGATCCTCCTAATGTTGAAGGATATCTCCGTACAGGACAGCATCGAAGCTCTCAAAGCCCTCAGAGGCTGGACAAAAACATTCCCAAAGGGTCCATGTACCTATATAGTATATACTTGGGCCTTAAAGGGGTTCCCATATAGTAGCTTTAGGGCCCAAGTAGGTACATGGACCCTTAGGGATTGGCCCCAAAACATGAGTCTAACCCTCTCAAACCTACCCCAAAAAAGCCCAAAACCCTACACGGTCTAAGATAAACCCCAACAACATCAGCCATGAACCCTGAACTTCCCGAAGCCTCAATCTCCCGAAACCCTAAACCCTAAACCCTAAAGCCTAAACCTCAGGGAGGCTAGAAGCCCCGCAATAAGACGAGACCCAGGAGTAACCTAGGAACAACAAGGGCGCCCCTTTGGGTTTGAAGGGGCTTAGAAGGGAATCCAAACCCGAAAGAAAGGGGATTGAGGGCCCACTCCGGGTCCTAGTAGCCCTAAACCCTAAACCCTCAACCCTAAACCCTAAACCCTAAATTCTAAACCCCAAACCCGAAACCCTAAACCCCGAAAATAAGTAAACAACGGCCTACTCTGAGTCCTAGAAGGCCCTGGCGATCCGAAATGCACGTCCGCGCCTGCGCCACGGGGGCATCTTTGCCGGTCTTCTGTGCCTGCCCCTCCAGGAGCCTCAGGGAGGAGTTTAGGGTTTAGGGTTTAGGGTTTAGGGTTTAGGGTTTAGGGTTTAGGGTTTAGGGTTTAGGGTTTAGGGTTTAGGGTTTAGGCGCTACGGCGGGTTCATCAATTTAGGGTGTGGAGTTTGGCGCTCAGGGTCTGGAGGTCTCGGGCTTCGGGTTTAGAGTCTAGACCTTAAACCCTAAACCCTAAACCCTAAACCCTAAACCCTAAACCCCAAACCTAAACCCTAAACCCTAGATGCCCCAAACTCCCTTATCTTGAAGGCTTAGTAGGTGCTTGGGGGCTTCTAGGGCCTGGGGGCCTTTAGGGTTCTTCGAGGCTTCGAGGTTTTGAGTTGAAGGATTTAGGGTTTGATTAGGGCTTAGGGCTTAGGGCTTAGGGCTCAGGGCTCAGGGCTCAGGGTTCAGGGTTTAGGGTTTAGGGTTTAGGGCTAGACTCGTTCAGTTCAGCCCAAGCAGCTTCTCGTAGACAGTGCACGACCGTGATGGGACCACCTCCCACTTTGCAGGGATTTACAGAGCCGCGCTAAACCCTCTGCAAACATCGCTAAACGAAGTTCCTCTTGAGACCAATGAGGGAAAAAACCCGAATCTACGATTTGCTTAAGAACCCCACAAGAATAAACGTAATGATCCCTATATTACCCTTATAAGGAAGAATACTTTTATTTTTAGGGGTTCTTAAGCAATTACTAGAAATGACATCACACGGGCCTACTTGGTACGGGGTTTTGGGTTCAAACCCGAAAACTCTGAACCCGAAAACCCTAAACCCGAAGCCCTAAACCCTAAACCCTAAGCCCCAAACCCTAAACCCTTGGCGCATGGCTTAGGGGTCCAGGGTCTGCGCTTACTTCGGGTGCGTCTGGATAAGGCAGGGCCTATTACAATCCCTATTAAGGACTGTTAGTATATAGGGGGACATCCCAAGGTCAAACCCTAAACCCTAAGCTGAGGGGTATAGGTATTTCGTTGAAGAACAACTCGTGTGGAGCGTTTGGTAAATATTTGTGGCCCTGCGACCAGCCCAAGCCTGCCACCGCATACCGGGTTTTCAGGGGATTCAGGTGGCTTTAATATTAAACCCAAAACCCTTAGCTAAACCCTTAACCCTAAACCCTAAACCCTAAACCCCAGACCCCAAAAAAGGGTTGATCGTTTTTGGCTGCTTGCTTGGGCTTCGGGGTCTGCTGTTTGCGTAAACCCGCAAGTCGCATGGCGCGATGCCTTTCTGGCCTCCGGCCCCGCGTGCTTTGGCAGGGCTCCCGGCCAAACCAGCTGCTGATTCTTGCAGCCAGGAGTTGCGGCCCTATTGTCAAGTTTTCTGTAATAAGACATATATGATAGTTGCGGAGCAGTAGTATGGTAGAAATATTGTCATAGCAGTACAGAGATATTTTGTAGATTGTATAGTATTCTGGTTTTATGGTACTGGGACGACGGTACTGCGACGAACCACGAGCTAGGTCTAGCCTAGGGTTAAAACTTAAACAGGTGCGGAGTCACGTCCTCCACCTCGCGCGATGGGTGAACTGCCAGGGCAGACGTGTTGCCCGCCTGTGTAGCTTCTGGCCGGGATGCTGTCCACGCCCGAGCCCAATACTCTCAACCACCTTCCTTGGTAGCCCAGTAACCATCTTGTACTAAGGCTACTAAGGGTACCCTTTTGGCAGTTGGTTCAATGTATAAGGGAACCCCGAAGCAACAAAAAAAAGTAAAGGGTACCACTGGGCCACCAAGCTTCTGAGGCAGTCGCTCTGCAATGGCAGGCACAGCCGTCAAGACGACCGGGGCCACCTCTTGCAGATTCCCTGCTGCCCACCTTGGTAGCCCAGCAACCAAATTATGATAAGGGCACCCTTTTTTGGTCTGGTTCTTTTATCAGGGAACCAATAACCAAAAAAAAGGTAAAGGATGGTAAAGGGTACCACTGGGCTACCAAGCCACAGGCAGTTGGACAGCTCCTGTAGAATCATACGGTCGACCCTGCGCGGTATACACTTGACGATGGCAGGCACAGCCGTGAGGGCTGCTGGCGCCGCCTCTTGAAGATAGGCCGCCGCCCAGAGGCAGTTCGACAGCGCCTGGGGAATCATGCGTTCGACCTGGTTCGGTATGCGATCCGCCACAGACGGCACAAAGGTCAGCACGACCGGCAGGGACTCTTGCAGATTCGCGGCTGCCCACAAGCAGTTCGACAAGTGCTGGGGAATCATCTTCCTTGGATTTTCAAGGGCCCTGTAAATCCCATGAGTCCTACAGCTGGAATCATCTTCCCGATACAGTACCCCTTTTGGGGCTCATCTACGTAACTGTACTTCTTACACTAGACTGCTCACTATGCTAAGTTACGAAAGCCATGTGTAAGTACCCCTTTGAGAGGTTGGCTGCTTTAAAAGGGAACCTGGAACCCAAAAAGCACAGGGCAGAAGGGTACAAAAAGCAGTAGGACTCCCTAACCCTAAACCCTAAACCCTAAACCCTAAACCCTAAACCCTAAACCCTAAACCCTAAACCCTAAACCTCAAACCGTCCCCAAGGCTCTCAACTTGCTCCGGGACGCGCTCCGCGCAGGCGGGCACAGCCGCGAGCACCTCCGGGGCCGCCTCCTGCAGAGTGGCCGCGGCCCAGAGGCAGTTCGACAAGTCCTGCGGGTTGAACTCCGCCACCTGTCTTGGGGTTTAGGGTTTAGGGTTTAGGGTTTAGGGTTTAGGGTTTAGGGTTTAGGGTTTAGGGTTTAGGGTTTAGGGTTTAGGGTTTAGGGTTTAGGGTTTAGGGTTTAGGGTTTAGGGCTTCGGGTCTGTCCAGAACTAGGGAGTACCTCCCTTTGGTGCAGCTGCAGCAAGATGGCCCAAACCTTATCTAAACCCTCTAAACAATCTAAAGCCTCTAAACCCTCTAACCCTAAACCCAGACCCTGACCCCTAAACCCCCAATCTGCCTCGCCTTGCGGGGAATGCTCGCTGCGACAGCAGGCACTGCAGCCAAGACCTCTGGCGCCGACTCCTGCAGAAAAGGCTCACTTTCCTTAAGTTAAGGGCTGGGGTTTAGGGTTTAGGGGTTTAGGGGTTTAGGGGTTTAGGGGTTTGGGGGTTTAGGGGTTTAGGGGCTGAGAGGCCATAAAGACTCTCCCTAAACCCGTACCCCTAAACCCTAAACCCCTGAACTCCTGCAGAGTGGCAGCCGCCCACAGGATGTTGGACAGCGCCTGTGGCACGAACTGGGCAGCCCTGCCTGGGCAAGTGTGAGCTTCGGGGGGTTTAGGGCTTAGGGCGTGGAGCGTTTAGTGCGTTTAGGGTGTTTTGGGCGTTTAGGGTTTAGGGCGTTTAGGGCGTTTAGGGCGTTTAGGGTTTAGTGTTTAGGGTCTTTGGAATCTTGAGAGCTTGGGGGATTCTTGGGCTTCAATGTGATAAGGCATAGGGTTTAGGGATTATTGGGCTAGTTGGGCTTTGGGCTGCTTTGGGTTTGGGGTTTAGCCTATTTAAACTCGAAACCCGGTAGACCCTAAACCCAAACCTTTGTCGTTCTAGACTCCCTTGCTCTGGGAAGCCCTTTAGAAGGAATTGGGGGCTTTAGGGCTTACATACAGGGTTGACTTGGTGGTGATTGCTATGGTCCCTATAAGACACACAACCCACTGCGTTACCTTCACAACTCTAGAAAACCCGGTCAAGTAAAACCTCGTACATGCCCACCTGCAGAAAAACACAACAGAACATAAGCAAATACAGACAAAGCCCAGCGAAACCTCAAACCCTAAACCCCTCAACCCAAACCCCAAACCCCTAACCCCCAACCCCAAACCCTAAACCCCCAAAACCCTGGACCCCAAACCCCCAAAAACCCTGGACCGCAAACCCTAAACCCCAAACCCTAAACCCGGTCCTAAAGCCCAGTCCTACCTATGCACCTAACCCTAAACCCTAAACCCCAAACCCCAAACCCTAAACCCTAAACCCCAAACCCTAACACATGCCCAGGCAGCGGGGGATGCTCTTTGCCAGAGCTGGCGCGGCTTTGAGGACCTCAGGCTCCGCCCGATGAAGACTTGCCACGGCCCACAGGCAGTTCGAGAGGTCGAAGGCGTTCATGCTGCCAGCCTTGTTGTTTTGGGGGGGTTTAGGGTTTAGGGTTTAGGGTTTTCGATTTTAGGGTTTTAGGGTTTTAGGGGTTGAGGGCTTTGGGAGTGACATGCGACTCAACCGCCCCAGCCCCCCAATCATATTGGTTGATAGTAGGGTCGGGGGACGGCGGGGGGGAGCCTGTTGCGAGCAAGGGTGTCGCGGCTTGCATTTACTTGCTTCAGGAGCTGGGACTTCGATTCCGAGGTAGGGTTTGGTGTGATGCCACCCTAAGCCCTAAACCCTAAACCCTAAACCCTAAAGCCCACCTTCTGCTGCACACAGCGCGTGAGCAGAGCTGCCTCCGCGGCCATGTGCTTTGCGACATCTCCATGAACCTCTTGGAATTACAAACAAAGGCACCCTTTTTGGGTTTAGGGTTTAGGGTTTAGGGTTTAGGGTTTAGAGTTTAGGGTATCTACTTTCTCAGGGAACCTTGAAACACAAAAAGGGAAAAGGGTACCGCTGGGTCACCAAGACCTGAACGACAGCCCACAGAATGTTCGCGGCTGCACGCGGCGATATCTTGTCTTGCCTCGGCGAATGCGAGCCAGGCCCTCCTTATAGAAACCACTTCTGGTAGGGTTTGCGGTTTAGGGTTTTAGGTTTAGAGGTTCAGGTTTAGGGTTTAGGGTTTAGGGTTTAGGGTTTAGGGTTTAGGGTTTAGGGTTTAGGGTTTAGGGTTTAGGGTATAGGGTATAGGGTAGTTGCTAGTCGCAAAGAGTCCCCACCAAGAAATAAAAAACAAAAAACAAAAAAAACGCAATATCCCCAAGCCGAAGCGCCCAAAACAGTGAACCCAAACTTCCCTCAACTCTAAACTCCCTAAACCCTAAACCCTAAACCCTAAACCCTAAACCCTAAAACCCTAAACCCTAAACCCTAAACCCGAAACCCTAAACCCATTCGTGAAAGAATCCCAGCTACAGGAGCTGCCGGTGGAGATTGGCAGCCAGCCGCCTCAGCACAGGATCCCTCACCTCGGCTTTTGCCAGCCGTTGCCTTGGGAGCTCTTGGGGCAGGGTTTAGGGTTTAGGGTTTAGGGTTTAGGGCTTAGGGCTTAGGGCTTAGGGCTTAGGCCTCTTAGGGCTCTTAGCGTTTGGGGTTTGGGGTTTAGGGCTCTTCGGGCTCTGAAGGGTTCTTAGGGCACTTAGGTTTAGGGCTCTTCCCTTCAAACCCTCACCTCTGCCCTTGAAACCCTAATTCTGCCCGTAAAACCCTAAACCCTAAACCTTAAACCCTAAACCCTAACCCTAAAACCCTAAAAAACCCTAAAAAACCCTTAACAACCCTAAAGCCCTAAACCCTAAACCCTATAAGCCCCTGTAGCCTCCAAGGTGCCGCTTCTTGAGGAAGGCCAGCCGGGTAAAGGCGGCCGACGTGTGCAGAGCGTTGAAGCACGGGCTGTCGAGCTCCGCATCCAGGAGAGTGAAGAGCTCCTCGGAAGGGTTTAGGGTTTAGGGTTTAGGGTTTAGGGTTTAGGGTTTAGGGTTTGGGGCTTGGGGCTTGGGGTTTAGGGCTAGTCGTAAGCAAGTCCCTCCTGAAACTCAACAAGGAGGAAACAACAAAAACATGAACAGATCCCCAGGCTCCATGACCGAAGTAGGAGAAAACAACCCTAAACCCTAAACCCTAAACCCTAAACCCAGGCGCCACGGCCGAAGTGGTCTTCTTGATCCTGGCTGTCAGGATCTTCGGCCCCTTGCTTCGCATCTCGGGCCCCCGACCTCGGGGGACCCTTGGGATGCTGCCTTACGTTCCCAAGACTCGGGTTTAGGGTTTAGGGTTTAGGGGGTTTGGGGTTTAGGGTGTACTCCATAATACCACAAAAAAAACAACAAGGGTTCGGGATATGGTCCGCATCGTGCGAAACTACAGCAGGAGAAGCCACAAGGCGTAAGTGCTAAGAATGATAGTACGTGGACCCCAAAGTATGTAAAAAAAACAAGTCTCATAGAAGGGCCATTACTTTACATACTTTGGAGGTTCGAGCAAGCATAAATGCTTGCAATCATGGAGAAGCTACAGCAGCCCCCTGCGAAGAGCAGCAGCACAGGCGCCAGCACTAGGACACTGGGCCGGCTGTCGGGCTCCATGGCTTTCGGCTTTAGGGCAGTTTAGGGTTAGGGGTATGATGTAGGGTTTAGGGTTTAGGGTTTAGGGTTTAGGGTTTAGGGTTTAGGGGTTGAGGGTCCAGGGGTTTGGGAGGGTTTAGGGGTTTAGGGTTTAGGGCAAACTAATGTTCTAAAAGGGCCGCACAAGTCTTGGTATGCCTCACTAGGCCCCAAACTAGGGATTTATGTTGCGAGTTGTCTGTCCTATGACATTTTAGGGCCCTCAGCTCAGGGACTCAGGTTCAGGGTTTCGTGGTTTGTTTAGGGTTTAGGGTTTAGGGTTTAGGGTTTAGGGTTTAGGGTTTAGGGTTTAGGGTTTAGGGTTTAGGGTTTAGGGTTTAGGGTTTAGGGTTTAGGGTGTAGGGTGTAGGGTTTAGGGAGCTTTCGGGGCTTGGGGGGTTTAGGGGGCCTGGGGGCTGACACCTTCAAAGGAGGCCTGCAGAAGGCACATGGCAGACAAAGCATGGCCTTGATCACATCTCTCAAGGGAGGTTTAGGGTTTAGGGTTTAGGGTTTAGGGTTTAGGGTTTAGGGTTTAGGGTTTAGGGTTTAGGCATGTCACCCCTAAGCACACTACCTGTAGCGAAGAGGCTGATGAACCAAGCTAGGTTCCACAGTAAACTAAGAGTAGAAAAGGTGACCGCCTTTGCTTGCAGAGGTTGTAGTAGGATTCTAGAAAGCTGGGTGTCGTAGAAAGTGTAGCTTAGGGACTTGACAAACCCTGAGCCCTAAACCCTAAACCCTAAACCCTAAACACCTAAGGTATGCTGCTTGCAACCCAGAACCAAAATTCTGAACCCTGCCTGCAAGCCCACATCCGGTAGACCCCTCGACTCTGTAACCCGAAAGCTACACCCGTAAACCCTCCTAATCCCTAAACAGGCCGAAAACCTAAACCCTAAACCCTAAACCCTAAACCCTAAACCCTAAACCCTAAACCCTAAACCCTAAACCCTAAACCCTAAACCCTAAACCCTAGACCCTAGCCCTAAACCCTAAACCCTAAACCCCAGCCCTTCCTCAAAACCCTCAACGCACGCGCCTTGAGTGTGATGGAGGCGCAGCGATCATTAAAGTTACCCGGTCCTCCCGGAACCTAAGCGTGGGCTCACACAAAAGTTTCGGCTTGAGGGTGTACCTAAACCGTTTAGGGTTTAGGGTTTAGGGTTTAGGGTTTAGAGTTTAAAATTTAGGGTAGACCTAAACCCCCCGAAGTGTGTAAACTAATGGCCCATCTGCGGGTTCTTGGGGCTGTTTGTTGACATACTTTGGGGGTCCCAGCTAGGGTAAGGTCGAAACAGCAGCGAGATACCTTGTACCGTGACCCTAAACCCTACACCCTAAAGCCTAATGTTGGACCCGCTTTAGTATTGGCCCCCTCTTTAAAGACAATTTGGCTGAATTATTCAGGACACCCTGACTGTTTGGGAGTCCCTCTTTAAGACAAAGTCCGGGCGCTGTAAGAAAATTCCACGTGGCACGCCTTTAAAAAAGATTGCCGGGCATCGCTGTCCCTGTTGAACTTATCTAAACTCCTCCCTATTAAAGTCATATAAACCCCCGGGGCTGTCTAAACAGAGCAAAATCCAGCCTCGACTGTTCAGGGGGGGGGGGGGGGGGGCACACTAAAGAGGGTTCAACATTACACCCTAAACCCTAAACCCTAAACCCGAGATATAATGCAAATCCTTGGGCGCCTTTACTATATAAGGCCTTCGGAGGTTGGAGCTCTTGGGGGTTTTAGGGGGCTTCTGTTTTGCGCTTCAGGGTTTAGGGTTTAGGGTTTAGGGTTTGGGGTTTAGGGTTTAGGGTTTAGGGTTTAGGATTTAGGGTTTAGGGTTTAGGGTTTAGGGTTGGGTAAGTTTGGCTTTTCGAAGACGAGCGAGTGAGGCTGAATCGAGATACAGCTCGGGCGGGGTTGGTTACTTTATAAGGGAACCTTGAACCAACAAAAAGTGAGAAAACAAAGGTACCACTGGATTCGTATGTGGGCGCCCTCAGGAAAGGGCTCGTTAAACTTAGTTGCTGAGTTCATGAGCCCCCAAAAAGTTGTACACTTTCAGTTCTATGGGGGATTATAGTATTCCAAAAAGTGTAAAGTGAAACCAAGTGAAGCCTAAACCCCAAACCCTGTACCCCTAAACCCTAAACCCTAAACCGTAAACCCTGAACCCCAAAGCCTAAGCTCCCCCTAAACCTGACATCGGCAGCCCAAGCGTCGCCCTCAGGCTCGGAGAAGTAGGCCCAGTCGTGAATGGTCCGGCCTGGCGGAGGGTTTAGCGTTTAGGGTTTAGGGAAGCGGCATGGGCACTGGTGGCCCGAAGACAGTTCATAGGAAGATTCCGCGCGACCCTCTGAAGCAGATTCCATCATCCTCTTAAACTTGAAGCCAACAAGATAGGGGATAGGATTAGGGGGACCCTTGGGGATATAGACCCTCTGAATAAGGTCCCTGTTTAAGAGAGCCAGAAGAGGGTACAGAAGGGGTTCCCTTTTAAGGGTCACCCTTATCCGATCTAGGACAAGAGGTGGGTTCATTAGCCTCTTATGAGGCTCCTAGATGGGAAGCCGCTCGCTTCAAGCTGTCCATGATTTGGGTGTTATCAAGTTCACCCTAAACCCTGAACCCTAAATCCGAAACACTAAAACTTAAACCCTAAACCGCCAAAACTCATAAACCCTAAACCCTAAAACCCTAAACCCAAGAAACCCTACCCTGGCTGAGATCCTTACATGGCCTCTATTTTCACCAAAGTCCTCGTCTTTCAGGACTGACCTAGACCCTAAACCCTGAACCCTAAACCCCAAACCTGAGCTAAGGCCGCTAAGGACTTGAGACTCGGTACCTGTGAGCTCTCAAAGGTGTCCAGCTGGACCCGTCAAATTGGCACTACTCCCCTCCCCCTGATATTAAACCCACCCTTTCTAGGGGTTAGGGGTTTAGGGTTTAGGGATCATATTAAATGCCCCCCCCCCCCTCCCTATTGTGTTCTTCTATAGTATATTGTGTCTTTTTTAATGTTAGGGGGCAGGGCGTAACATCTTCAGCCTCTGCCACGGAAGTCGTAGGCATCGGAATCCAAGCAAATCTTGTACCTCTCAAGGCTTCTGGGGTTTAGGGTTTAGGGTTTAGGGTTTGGGGTTTGGGGTTAGGGTTTAGGGTTTAGGGTTTGGAGTTTAGTTTGAGGCTGTCGAGTGACCTGGGTGGGGGGTGACGATTGAACTCTTAGGGACCTCCAAGGGCTCAACACATGCCAAGAACCCCAAATTCAAACCTTACACCCCAAGCCCCAACAAAAACCCAAGTCCGGAACCCCTAAAGGGTTTCGGGTTTAGGGTCTAGGGTTGAGGGTTCCCTAAACCCCGAAGCCCTATACCTCTAGACCCTAACCCCGAAAACCCAAACCCGAAACCCAACACCCAAAATCCCCAACCCCTAAACTGAACCTGTAAACCCTAAACGCTCCAAACCCTAAACCCTAAACCCTAAACGCTCCAAACCCTAAACCCTAAACCCTAAACCCTAAATGCTCTAAACGCTCTAAACGCTCTAGACCCTAAACCCTAAACCCTAAACCCCAAACCCCAAACCCTAAACCCTAAACCCTAAACCCTGTGGCTTCAACTTGCAAGGCTGTTCGGCACCTTCCATGCTCGCGCACGCCCACTTTGTAGTCGGCGTAGTCCTTACCTTGGGAAGGGGGCTTACGCTTTTGGGGGTTTAGGGTTTAGGAGTTTGGGGTTTAGGGTTTAGGGTTTAGGAGATTAGGGTTTAGGGTTGAGGAGTTTAGGGTTTAGGAGTTTAGGAGTTTAGGAGTTTAGGAGTTTAGGAGTTTAGGGTTTAGGGTTTAGGAGTTTCGGGTTTAGGAGTTTAGGGTTTAGGGTTTAGGAGTTTAGGGTTTTTGGGGCGTGGGTGCTAGATGCACATGACGCAGCGGCACCGGCGATGGTTTAAGCTTACGTCCCGGAATCCACATGGTCCCCACACGTATGAGGCACCGACAACCCGAAAGAGACCCAAACCCGCTAAAGGTTCAGGGTTTCGGGTTGCAGTATATACCATAAGGTACAAACCCCCCCAAAACCCCGAACCGCCATGCACCCTAAACCCTAAAAATTTAAAGGCTAAACCTAAACCCTGTCAGACCCTAAGGTGCAGACAAGGATGAAGGTTCACCACGAAGAGGAGGTTGGCGCGCTCGAAGACAATCACCTTGTCCTCCTGCCCAGCCATGCGCTATCCCAAACTGTCGAGGGGTTCTGGGGGGTCTTGGCTGCAAAATTCGGCACCTCGCCAGAACTGATAGAGCTGCTAGCCCTCTCACAAACCCAGGGTTTAGTTAGGGTTTAGGGTTTAGGGTTTAGGGCTTTCGTGCTTTGGGGATCTCAGGGCCTCGTGCTGGCTGGACACCAGGAGGTGCTCGTCGCTGGCGAAGCCCGTGCTCTCCTTCATCTGCTGAGGCCGTGGGGGGGGGTTTGGGGTTTAGGGTTTGGGGTTTAGGGTTTCGGGCTTGAGGGTTTAGGGGTTTAGGGTTTAGGGATTCTAGGGGCTTTAGGGGCTTTAGGGTTTAGGGTTTAGGGCTACAGCCTAAGCCCTAAATCCGCTCCTCCATGGCATGCATGGCCACATCCCACTTGAGAAGGAATCGATACCTGGGCCCATTAGGGTTTAGGGCTTAGGGTTCAGGGCCTATGGGTGTAAGATGCCCCTTGCCCCGCTCAGGAGTACATTTAGGGCTACGGGCTTGTAAAGGTATAGGGTTTAGGGTTGAGGGTTGAGGGTATAGGGTATAGGGTATGGGGTTTAGGGTATAGGGTTTAGGGTTTACAGGGGATATGGAACACTCCTGCCCCTTTCGGGCTGATAGAGGTTTAGGACTTTCAGAGAACCCCCCCGCCCTCCCTGACTTAGCTTCTAGCAGCATAACTTCAGAGCTCATTACCCAAGCTGCAATACTTCTCGCAAATTCCGACTCAAAAGCTTAAAGACCCCTAGCATTCTAGTCAACAACTGGAGGGGGGCTGTACCCTCAACCCACCCTGTAGCAGCCCCTCACGGCCCAGCCGTGCTGAAGCTTCTGGAGGTTTTGGTGAAACCGCAAACAACCCTATAGCCACTCGACAAGGCATCCTCATTCCCTTCCGACCTCCGCACAACCTGAGACTCTAAATCCTAGAAAAACCCCTTGGTGCCCCCGTAAACAATGACTCCTTTTAAGCATTTGGGGCTACTGATGTGCATGCGCAAATGTAGATTGATACGTATATGTATATCTAGATGTGTGAAAAAGGTGTGTATAGATAAAACACAAATACGATATCTAAAAGAACAATAAACAAATAAATAAATATACATAGATATATACATATATATATATATGTACATATACCGTATATACTGTATGAGGTATACATACAGAGTTGACATCAGGCAGCAGGCTTCACGGCCCCTTCTAGGACTCCAGTGCTGGGGGAAGAGGCCGCAGCAGCCCGCTGTCAGCCAAGTCAAAGCGCCGTCGGCAATGTGCGTAGGACCACTTGTTCCCTGTTGGCAGAATAGGGGTTTCGGGTTAAGAGTTTGGGGTTTAGGGTTTAGGGTTACCCTAAAAAGACCTACAATGTCTAAGCCCTAAACCCCCTAAACCCCCTAAACCTCCTAAACCCCCCCAAAACCCCCCAAACCGCGTAAACCCTGCAAGCCCTGAGCCCTGTAAGCCCTAAGCCCCAAACCGAAACCCTAAAACTCGCCGCCCTTAAAACTTTTTTGACCTGAGTCCTCCCCAAAACCCGACACCTCCTCCTCCCACAAGCGCGCGCCTTCACGAGGGAAGTCCACCCACTCAGGATGTCCGAACTCGTTGCCTCAGTTCCAAGGGTAGTTGCATGGTCCCTTGGGTATGGGCCCTTAAACGGGGAACCCTTGCATACCCCCCATAAACCCTGCACATATCAGAACCGCTTAAGGAGGACCATGTTCAAGGCAAGTGAAACTACCCTTCCATCAGTTGCCCTCGGCGAAGAAAGGACATTTGTGCCTTGTAGGTTTGGGCTTTTGAGACTCTTGGCGCCAATCCCCTTTACAAAGCCCTCTCTCTAAACCCTAAACCCTAAACCCGAAACCCTAAAGCCGAAACCCGAAACCCTAAACCCTAAGCCCGAAACCCGGAACCCTGTACCTGGGCAGCTTTCGTCTCCTGAGCAAGCGGCCCATGAAGTTCAGATAACCTGGCAAGGGGCAGGGGTGTCTAAGGCTTCTAAGGCTGGTTTAGGGTTTAGGGGGTCCCTTTATATGTTCCCTTGCCTTCTTTCGAGGGCTCGGAAGTCTGGGCTCGTGGGTTTTATAGGATATATAGGGGGGTATATAAGGGGAACCCCTTTCAAGGGCATGTAACTGCCCTTAAGAGGGTTTAGGGCTCTTCGGGACCTTGAAAGGGACGATCGGTTCGCAAGCCGACTGCGTGTTTGTTTGTGTGGGGGCCGTAAACACACTAAACCCTAAACCCTTAAAGCCCTGAAGCCCTAAAGCCGTACAGCCCCTAAAGCCCCTAAACCCTAAACCCTGAACCCCTCATGCCCCAAAGCCATAACCCCCAAGGCCCAAAGCCTAAACCCTAAACTCCTAAACCTAGAGCCCTAAAGCCCTAAAGCCCCGAAACCCCTGAAGCCCTAGGCCCTAAACGCCTCTAGCCCTAAACCCTAAACCCTGCGCGGCCACGTCGCCATTCCGTCGCACGTGAGCATGGCACAATCGAGGTGACGAGCGAGTGGCCGTTGGTCTGCCCGACTCCATCGTCCAGCGGCAAAGCAACCGGATCGCGAAGCTGCAATGTGCTGCCAATCACGGCAACGTTTCCACGGTTCGTGTAAATCATGAAGTTGCGATTCGGGTTCCCCTTCATCACCACCCACGAATGGAGCTCCTGCTTGGCTTGGCTGATCTTCGACTGCGCGAGCCATGATTGAACGACTCCTTCAACGCCCTGGCACTGGTCACCGTCAGCACCTGAAATCGGGCCCAGTTCAGCTGCTCCCTGACTCCAAACCCCTGAAGTCCCAAACCCTAGCCCTCAACCCTAAAACCCCTGAAGCCCCAAACCCTGAGCCCTAAACCCCTGAAGCCCTAAACCCCTTTGAAGCCCTAAACCTTAGAACCCCTGAAGCCCTAAACCCCTAAACCCTGGCCCCAAATCCTAAACCCTTTTGAAGCCCGAAACCCCGAAACCCCTTTGAAGCCCCGAACCCTAAACCCTAAAGCCCTGAAGCCCTCAACCCCCCAAACCCTAGCCCTAAACCCTAAACCCCTGAAGCCCTAAATCCCGAAACCCCTTTGAAGCCCGAAACCCTAAGCCCTAAACCCCTAAACCCTAGCCCTAAACCCTAAACCCCTGAAGCCCTAAATCGTACACACCTCGGGCCGACCTTCTCCACCGAGCCCTAACGTGAGCAGCCGGATGATCCTGGGGTTTAGGGTTTAGGGTTTAGGACTTCTGGGGTTTAGGGTTAGGGCTTCCGGGGTTTAGGGTTTAGGGTTTAGGGTTTAGGGCTTGGGGTTTAGGGCTTCAGGGTTTAGGGTTTAGGGCTTCAGTGGTTTAGAGTTTATAGGGTTTAGGATTTGGGGCATCAGGAGTTTAGGGTCTAGGGTTTAGGCTGGCTTCGGAGGTTCTTGGTTCTCTTGGCTCCTAATGAAGAGGGTTCTGCTCGGCTGCAAGGCGTTTGGGCCGAGGGTTTGCGCTGAGGGGCTTTGACTGATTTTGGAGGCAGCTTTCAGGGCTTGGGGTTTGGGGCTTCGGGTTTAGGATTTAGAATTTAAATAGGGTTTAGGGTAGTCTACATTGCAGGGGTGGTGGCTTGCTTCAAGGATGCGGAAGGATATTTCAGGCCAAGCGCCCCTGCCTCAAATGTAGGGTTCGCCTGAGGCCCTACCCTCTGAATGTGAACGAATATAAACCCTGAAACCTAAACCCTTAACTAATAGCCCGAAACCTATCCCCCCTCAACTCTGACACCTAAACTCTTAACTATGAACCCGAAACCCTAAACCCCCCCAACCCTGAAATCTAAACCCTTGACTGCTAGCACCCTAAACCGAAACCCTAAACCGTAAAACCTCTCCTAAGCCCAGGAGCAACCTAGGAATAAAAAGGGGTGCCCTTTGGGGTTTTGTAGAGGGGGTGATAAGAGAACCCAAACCCAAACCAAAAAGGGAAGGGTTCTTAGTGTCAAGCTGAAGGCTCTAGTGTAGTTCCTTTCTGGGTTAGCTAAAGAGGATTCTAGTATACCTTAAACCCTAAACCCTAAACCCTCAACCCAAAAAAGGTACTACATAGGAGCCTTTGGGAAGGCTGAAGCCGGGAGTCTTGTGCATGGCCATCCCCCGTTCTACCACCACTGTGCCCGGAGTGCCATCATCGCCCATGCCTCTTTCGCTGGGCTGCGGCCAGGCTTTCTAGAGACCCTTAGGGTTTAGGGTTTAGGGTTTAGGGTTTAGGGTTTAGGGTTTGGGGTTTGGGGTTTGGGGTTTGGGGTTTAGGGTTAAGCGCCCGAAGCCCAAAAGCCTCATCCCTCCCCGTCTCCCCAGAGGCCCCAAAAGCTTCAACGAGCTAAACTCAGAATCCAACCCCGAGGCACATGTTCCGCAAGGTCTCTGAGCGCCGGGTTCGTGCCTTTTGGTCTGTTGGAGAGCATTTCGCAAGAAACCCGGAAAACTCTGAACAGAGGGAACCCTGAACTGGGGACCTGAACCATAAGAGGGCACCGGTGGGCTTAGGGTTTAGGGCTTAGGGTTTAGGGTTTAGGGTTTAGGGCTTAGGGGCTGAGAACTTGGGAACCGGCCATTGAGTTGCAGCTTAGAAAGCTGGGTCTATCTTCCCATCACATGCTTGCATACATATAGGGGTCTCCGAAACTAGGGGTACCTTATTGGGGTCCTTACTATGCCGGAATCCTACTATTTGGGGGTCGATACTAGGGGTCCCTTATTTTCGTAAACCCCCATATTTGATTCGGAACCGTCGAGTCAAACCTCTATAGGTTTTAGTTTTAGGCCGGGTTTAGGGGTTCAGGTTTTGGATCACAGAACCTCTGCGCCCCTCCCTTGGAACTGTCCAGACTGTTACATTAAGCGTGAGCATCCTAATTAAGCGTGAGCATCCTAACCAGCACTAGTCCACCAATCCCTAAACACTAAACCGTAAACTCCAACCCCCAAACCTTTTGCCGAAGGCGTTGAGCGCTGACATTACTACCAAAGAACTATAGTAGGTTTGGCCGTGAAGCCGCCCTAGCCTGTGTACATCTCTGCATCCATGAGCCAGAAGGCAATCGTCCTAAAACGGAGAGGTGCTGTGTAGGGTTTAGGGCATGGTTTGGAGTACCGGCATATATGAGATGTCGCTATAATGGCACATTGGTTGTGATCTATGACCACCTAAATCACTACACCGCACTGCATCAACTCCCACAAAATGCCCTGGAATAGGACAGGCTTACCTGCCTCTCACATGGTCGAATGAACCCTAAACCCTAAACCCTAAACCCTAAATCCTAAACCCTAAACCCTAAGCCCTAAATCCTAAACCCTAAACCCTAAACCCTAAACCCCAAACCCGAAACCCTAAACCCTCAACCCTCAACCCTGGCTTGGCAAGCATGAGCCTTCGGCTGCCCTAGGAGCCTGGAAACAGGCCGAAAGAACGATGACAGAGACAGGGTATCAGGATAGGGTTCAGGATTTAGGATTCAGGATTTAGGGTTTAGGGTTTAGGATTTAGGATTTAGGATTGAGGGTTTAGGGCTTAGGGCTTAGGGTTTAGGGTTTAGGGTTTAGGGTTTAGGATTTAGGGTTTAGGGTTTAGGGTTTAGGGTTTCGCCGCCCAGCCATCAAGAGAACATGTGCTACCGATGGATGGGAATGGAAACCCAAAGCGCTGCGGTTTGGGGGGGGGGGGGGGGGGGGGTTGACGCTTGAAGGCTTGGTCTAGAGGCAAACAAAAAGTACGTGTTGCAAGTCACAGGTACTCTTTATTCACAGAACTACAACAAACCCTTCCTAGGGCTTCAACTTTAGACTTTAGGCGTCCTCTACATTGTTTAGGGTTTAGGGTTTAGGGTTTAGGGTTTAGGGTTTAGGGTTTAGGATTGCATGCTGAGCAGCTTGTCTCCCACAATCGATTGGTCATGGCTCTCAGCATACGCCTCGGCGTGTCTCCCTCTCACAGTAGAAGGTTTAGGGTTGCCCTGAACCCTAAACCCTAAACCCTAAACTCTAAACCCTTAGGGTTTAGGGTGGTCCACAAAGCAGATGTTAGCTTTCAAAGAAAACTGGTGAGTATTCAAATGAGCAGTTTTTTTTTTCATTGTGTGGGGTGTTGTAATGGCATGGGTATCCTACGCGGGCCTACGCGTCAGCTCATGTTTAGTAGGCGCGCGGCCTACGCGCGGAGTATGTTGTTGACGTGTGCCTACGCGGACCTACGCGGCAAGCATAGACAACCTACGCGGACCTACGCGGACCTACGCGCCCATACTGCATAGACTTGCCTACGCGGACCCTACGCAAACCTACGCCCTGCAGGCAAAATGCTACGCGGCCGACTTTCAATGATCGCGTCTCTACGTAGCCTTGCTCGTAGAAAAAAAACGCTGCTCAAATGCGACGCCTGGTATTTTCTTGGAGCTTAAAGTTTACCGTTTAGGGCTCTCGGGTTTAGCAGGCCATGCTTGGGGAGTGTTTAGGGGTTCGGGCTGTCTAGGTTTGTAGGGCGATTGAACCCTGAACCCGAACCTCAAGCATTGTAAAGCCACCTTGCGCCCTATACTGACAAGTACAGAAGATCTGGCACGCATCTCGGACATTGCGAGGCGCCAAAAGAACGAAGATCCGAACGCGAATAGGTCATTGCTCTCCATCACCCACCGGGAACATGAATCAAGCTCAAGATCTTTATATTCCTGGTGGTGTCTGTGTGTGAGTGAACCCTAAACCCCAAACCCCAAACCCCAAACCCCAAACCCTAACCCTAAATCTAAACCCTAAACCCTAAACCCTAACCCTAAACCCTAAACCCTAAAGTGCACGGCGGAGAAGCCCACAATAGAATTGGTCTTGTGGGTCCAACTGCACCAACGGCGTTTGCTCTCATATATTCTGAGCTGGAGGTCTTAAAGCTCAAAATCACAAAGGCAAAGTTGCTTGCAAAAGCAGTCATCAGTTGTGGCTGTTGCTTTTTCGTTGATGCCTGGCTTCTGCTTTGGCATACGCTTGCATAAGTCAACGAAAATGACTGGAACCCATATGAAAAATGCACATTACATATGTATATATATATATATATACATAATACATATACTTGATACGTCTGGTCCGCAATTCATACCTGCGGCCTTGGACGGATGAGAGCGAGTTCAGGGCAACTGCCAACAAGTCCCCCACCTTACACCCTCGGGATTTAGGGTTTATGGTTGAGGGGGGTAATGGTTTAGGAGTGTAGGGTTTAGAGTTTAGGGTTTAGGGTTGAGTAGGGTTATGGTTTAGGAGTTTAGGGTTTAGAGTTTAAGGTTTAGGGTTTAGAGGTGTCCCAGAGCGCTGAAATGCTCGGAGCGAGCGAGGCACGATGGTCTTCTCGCGGCCCCGCCGGCGATTGCACATCGCCTGGGTTCGGGCTGGCTTAGTAAGTAGGGCTTGGGGTTGAGTAGGGTTTAGGGTTTAGGGTTTAGGTAAACAGGGTTTAGGGTTTAGGGGTTTAGGGTTTAGGTTTAGGGTTGAGGGTTTAAGGTTTAGGGAAACAGGGTGTAGGGTAGGGTTTAGGGTTTAGGCAAACAGGGTTTAGGGCTTCGGGCTTAGGGTTTAGGGTTTCGGGTTTCAGGGTCGAGAGGGCTTGGTCGCCCAGTCACCATATAGTAATAAGGGCACCCTTTCTTGGGTTTGGGGTTTGGGGTTTAGGGTTTAGGGCTTAGGGCTTAGGGCTTAGGGATTAGGATTTAGGGATACTTTTAAAAGGGAGCCCAGAACCAAAAAACAAAAATAGGTAAAGGGTACCACTGGGCTACCAAGAGGGTTTGGGCTCTTTAGGGTTTAGGGTTTAGGGTTTAGGGTTTAGGGTTTAGGGTTTAGGGTTTAGGGTTTAGGGTTTAGGGTTTAGGGTGCTCAACCCCGAAGCCAACAGCTATCCCGAACCAAACGCTCAGAGAGGGCCGGCGTAGGCCAACTCCGACTTCATGTAAGTAAGGGTTGAGAATGATTGTATTACACACATTCTATCACATAAAAGCTCTCCCAAATTTCCAAGCTCTGAGCCCCAGCATAAAAATATAACGCACAAAAAAACACCCTAAACCCGAAACCCTAATCCCTAAACCCTAAACTGCTAAACTGCAGGCTATGCGGCCGATACGATGTGGTTCATGCCCCAGTGCTCGTCCTTGACATCCTCGCCAGTGGTGGTTTAAGGATTGAGTTTAGGGTTTAGGGTTTAGGCTTAGGGGCTTAAGGTTTACTCGGCGCTGTCTTTGTCTGCATTTGAGCTAAGGTTTAGGGGATTTGATCAGGGTTCCAGGGTTAGGGCTTGTAGAGTTTAGAGCTTCTAGCGATTTGGGTTTAGAGAACTGAAGCTAAGAACCCAACCCCACCTCCCCCCACCCTCCACCCTCCGCCAAGAACAAGGGAACCAAAAGCCCTTAACCCGAAACCAATACCTAGAACACTCCGGCCCCAAAAAGGGCCCACACAGGGCTCGGCTTGCAGTATGCTTTGGGTCTTTAGGACCTGCAACGGGCATTTCTATGTCAGCTACACTTGAAGCCCAGGCCAAGGGGAGAGGGGTTGGGATGCTCCCCTTATACTCACAGTCCTTAATCGGGCGACTATAATTACTTAGGGGGGTACTATAATCCCTAGTAAGGACTGCTAGTGTAAGGGGGAACATCCCAAGAGAGGAGGCTTATGGGGCCTTTAGGGAATACGTCCCATGTAGGGTTATTCGGGTCTATGCACCCCTCGGCCGCACGCGAAAACAAGAGATTCAAGTGCGTCCTTGAGGAGAGATATCCACATATCCTGAGCTTGCAGCGTTCTAGGGTTTAGGGCTTAGGGCTCAGGGCACCATGTCGTACACATGTTCCAAGGTGAAACCCAACATCTGGAAGCCTTGGGTTAGGGATGGACCCCTCAAGTCCCGCCCTCCCGAATACCCGAAAAAACCTCGCCCAACTTCCTATTCCTAACGGCGCGGCTTCAGGGTTCAGGTTGTAGGGATTCGGACAGCCCACATCCCAGTGCATAAGGGTAGTTACATGGTCCCGCACCATCTTCCGGAGTATAGGCCCTCGATTTTATAGGGTTTATAAGGGGTATATGTAAAAGGGGTCCCCATCTTAAGGGACCACGTGCCTACCCGAAAGAACTCTCAACGAGCTTTTGCCCACCTAGCTTGGGCTTTAGGACTTAGGGTGCCCGGAACCTTTGAAGCCACCCCCACTGGCCACCTCAGCACCAAGCTTTTTGACAAACTCACAAAAGGAATAAGCAAACTACACCCTCTGACCCCAAACTCTCGATGCTAAGACCCTAGACCCTAAACCCCTGAACCCTTAACCCCAAACCCAGAAGCATCAGGGTTTAGGTCTAAACCCCAAACCCTACCCTGAACCCTTAACCCCAAACCCAGAAGCACCAGGGCTGCCAAAGGTCGGGCAGTGACATGGCCAAGCGATAATCGAAGCCGATGCCACCTGTCAGCATGATGAGGCTGATCTACAAACATGGCTCAGGGTTTTTAGGGTCTAGGGTTTTGGGGTCTCATTTGCCGAGAATATTACAAGTGGCGGGTGAGGGGTTGCGGTTCGGGGGGGGGGGGGGGGAATTTAAGCACCCTAACCTGAAGGAGTAGGCAATTAGTGTAGCACAACCCGCCCCCCAACAAAGAAGAATGAACAACGACAAACGAACAAGCAGCCCTGATGATCGTGATCATGATCATGATGATGATGATCATGATGATGATGACGATGATGATGTTGATAATTGTTCTAACGACTTTGACGATGACGTTGCAGAGAAGACAAAGGCGAAGACGAAGACGATAATGATGACAACAGGAAATCAGGTAAAGTCCTATATCGAATCCTATCAAAGCCCGTCTCCCTTTTTGCTTCCCAGGGCTGGGGAGTTCAACTTGGCAAGCCCAAAACCCTCAACCCTCAACCCTCAACCCGAACCCTAAACGCGAAACCCTAAAAACCGCATGATGATCCAACCAATGCTGCCTTCGGCCACCGGCACGCACAAGCCAGGCATACCGGAGACGTCCTTCGAAGCCAACTTCGGGGATTTGGGTCTAGGGTTTATGGTTTTCGGGGCTAGGGTTTGGGGGCTAGGGTTTAGGGTTTAGGGTTTAGGGTTTAGGGTTTAGGGTTTAGGGTTTAGGGTTTAGGGTTTAGGGTTTAGGGTTTAGGGTTTAGTTTAGGGATTGGGGTTTATAGTAGGATCTTGTGATCCGCTGTTTCGGGGTTTTGAGGTCGGATTTGGGTGACTTGCGGCGAAGCTTGGGGTTTGGGCTTTCTAGGGTCTGGGGTTTTGGGGATTTCGGGATTTAGGGTTTAGGGCTGTGCCAGCAAGTACCAGGACCCTGCATCTCGCTCGAAGATCAGGTTGCCAAGGCCGAGTTGGAATGCCTCTGGATTCTGGGGTTTTGGGCTACTCGGCACCGGCAACATCGAAGTCGGACACAACGCACTATGATAGAGGGATCTGAAGAATTATTAGTGTTCCCTTATGGTCCCTACATGGTTTATACTAGAATAACCCCCAAAACCCTATTCTAATGACTAAGGCCCATATTCAGCCCTTTGAACCATAAACCTGCAAGCTCCCCCTTGTGTCCTCGGCGATCATGACAGCATCCGGGCGAACGCCTGTTGGTTGCAGGACATCTTTTCCGTGACCCAAAGCAAACCCTTAGGGCTTCGCCTAAACCCTAAACCCTAAACCCCAAACCAAAAGCCTCTAGATTTTTCGGGCTTAGGGGTTTAGGATGTTCAGGTTGAGCCCTTAGACCCTAAATACCCAAGAAGCTCACCGCAATCGCCTCTTACGTACTGGGGCGCTGTAACCCCAAACCCTAAACCCGAAACCCTGTAATCTTCGTGTTCGAACGCGGAAGCCTGAACCCTAAACTCTGAACAAACCTGAAGTCGGCCAGACTCAACATTGCCAAGCCTAGTAGACCCTGGACACTCTGACCCTAAACCCCAAACCCCACTCTCTCTCTCTCTCTCTCTCTCTGTGGCTCTCTTTGGACTTTCTTAACATTTTCTTTATTAAATATCTTTTGGAGCCGACATCCCCGCAATCATGAGGTTCGTATTCCGTTCTCTAAGGACTCTTGAACCCTGAGTTGCGGAATATGGAAGCCTACGTCCTAAGCCTTCAGCCACTTGGATCCTTTTCTGACACCTTTAATCCCTAAACCCTAAACCCTAAACCCTAATCCCTAAACCCTCAAACCCCAATCCCATATTCTCATGACACTGGGATGCAGCTGGCGGCGCTTCGGACCAGCTCGCTGGCAAGCATGAGGTAGACGACAGCGTCCACGTCCGTGGACAAGCCGAAATACTCCTCCAAAGGCTAGGTTTAGTGTTTAGGGTAATACTCCTCAAAAAAGGCATATCGGGTTTTTTTTTCTGCACTTTGTATTATCCCCCCCCCCATTCTTATGTGTGTACATATATATATATATAAAACCCCCTTTAAGAGATTCTATGGGGGTACCTCTTTCCCTCATTTACTACTCAACACGCTATAGGAGGTTAGTTAGGGGACGTTTAGGGGCTCTTAGTCTCGGGCTGGGGCTTGG